TAAAAAATTGAGAAAATAGGGAAATATTCTTTTACACCCAATAAAAAATACGGAAGCCTTATTTATTCATCTGATATTAATTAAAGAATCAAATTGTCTATACAAACTAAGTTTTATTAAAATGCTTAATTTGAATTTTTGTTGTTGCTTTATTTAATTAATTCTTATATTAATTATGCTATTATTTCATAAATTATAAGAACTGTATTCTATGCATATTTGATTAATTTTTTATTTAACGTAATTAGATAAATGTAGATTAATAGATATACGCATAGGCAAGAAAATAACAGAAAATGGAAAAAATGAATAAATATGGAATGAAATTATGAGCTATAACAATCAAATAGGCATTTAAATTTTTTGATGTAAAAAAGAAGAAGAAAATGAAAAAGAACGAACAAAGTAGTAGTCTAAATTAATTATACGTAAACAAAATTCCATTGTTATTGCAGGATACTGACAATATGTTCAAATTCGCAACAAATAACTATGTGAATTATTTTGTAACAGTAAATGTACAAAATTACATATTTGTGACTATATTTTATTCCACGTAAATTGATATAGAAATTTGTATAGTAATTATATATCTCCAATGCTAAAAACTTAGAATCTACAGTATTAAACATTGTTATATAGAGAATAAATTAATAAGATAAGAACAATACATTTATTAAATCTATGAGCAAATAATACATGAGAAGACAAATTCATGTTTGCATTTGTCTATCTTCAGCTTCCTGCTTCATATGTTACCAAACAGATCAAAAATATTCATATTATTTATATGAGTCCAATTTACGTTTTCTTTAAAGCCACGTACTGTACATCTATTCTTATATTATTTAATTAACTCTTATTTTAATGATGGAATTACTTTGTAAACTAAGAAGACTACATTCTATGTATGTCTTATTAATTTTTTATTTTGGGAAACTGTATTAGCATATAGATAATAAAGATAATCAGCAAAATAACTGAAAATTTTAAAAATAGGCACAAATGGGCTAAAAGTATGAGTAATGATATATAAATAAGTGTTTGAATTTTTCTTTATCTAAAAGAAATGAGGGAAATGGAAAAAAAAAAAAAAAAAAAAAAAAAAAAAATTAAATTACAATTGAATTGCTTGACTACTGCATTACACACTGACAACATATTAAAATTGGCAATAAATAATCCAAATGATTTTGTAATTAAGAACGCGTGGGATTACTTATTCGGAATCATAATTTATTCTGAATAAATTAATAGAAAAAATCCATGTGATAATCATATATGTACAATAATGTGAATCTAACATTAATAAAAGTAGATATGATCACAAAACAGATAAAATGTGAGTAATATATGTACTAAGCCTAGGAACAAATTATGTACAAAGAGACAAATTCATATTTGTATTTGCCTATACTCAGCTTCCTGCTTCATGTACAAACAAACAGATTAAAAAGTTTCTATCACAATGCTGATTTTAACGAAAAAGAAAATTATAAATGGCATAATAGATAAATAAATAATCAACAGAATCCAACAGAAAAAAGTAAGAGATTATGAATGCCATAATATTTTTATATAATAATTGTGGCACAGATATTAAGTATTGTCAGCAATATATGACAAATGAAGTATGAATCAATATACGTTATAGTTAGATTAAATAATATCAACATGAATATGAGAATAAAAATCTAAAATTTATGCTACCATACAAAATTAAATAATAAAATAGCAACAATTGATAAATTAAGTTTATCAACAAAGCCTACTTAAATAAATGAATTGGCATATGCATTTGCATAGTCTGAGTTTCTTCCTTCATAGATGGCCAAACAAATTAAAAGTTCTCTGTAATAAAATGTTGAAAGTAACAATTGTGAGAAGTCAAAGGACAAAAAAGAATTAAAAAAAAAAAAAGGAGAAGAAGAGAAAGAAAGAAAGAGTAGGAAGATGAGAAAGTAAGTGGATTATTATATAATCAAGATTGATGATTATTTATGTAAGAAATAAAAGAGAAAAACATGGAGGAAATAGGAAGCACTATGTTATGTAGATAAAGTTTGAAGGGTAAAATTGATGATAACAGTCATAAAACACGATGAATGAGATTGAGAAACGATTTTTTAGATAATTGTATTTCTTTGTTGGAAGCAGTCGCATGGACATGATAGAAATATTAAGACAGGTGAAGGTAAGAAAGAGAAAATTGGTAAAAAGTTTGACGCCAAGAAAGAAAATTGGTATTTAAGTAAATACAGTATTTAACGGTCGCCGAGTTTTCAAATAAATATGGTATTTACCGGTAAATATGATATTTACCAGTCACAGGAGACGGTCATCTCATTTTCATATAAATATGGTACTTACTAGTAAATATGATATTTATCGGTAAATACAGTATTTACTAGTAACCGGAGCCGGTCGCTGGAAAATTGTCTCCGACTGGCAGAAAAATGTCACCAGAAAACAGTCACCGATAGCCGGAAAACGGTCGCCAGAGCGGAAGCATGTTATGATGGACTTGATTATAGGGAGAAGATGGGAGGGGTGAGAGGCTTAGGGGTATTATTAGATTTTTAATAATGTTTAAAATTTAAAATATTAAATTATGTTATAATCTACTATCTTAAAAAAAATATGCTATAATTTACTAAACATCCTATTACATATGCTATTTTCCTTCTTCTCCCTTAAAAAAAAATTTAAGACAGTCTTCTGTTTCTGAGCAAACGCCACAACAAAATGTTTGAGACTCCATAATGTAACAAAGCAATACATGGTATTCTCAGTGACACATTTCAAAAGAAGGAAAAAGAAAACGGCAATAAACAGAGGCTCCTTGGAACCTTTCCATTGCCTTTTCTTCTGATCCATTCCTGATAATCGATATATTGTTTAACTGGCTGGGCAAAGTTAAGTACGGCAACCGCAAGGTTAGATTCCAATTTTTTAATACAAAAGGAAAAAGCCTGAATTCCTGGGTTTTTTTACCCTTGTCAAGTACATAGAGTTCTTATAGTAAAGGTACTTGTACAATTCTCTGTTAACGTATACTTCACGTTGGCCCAAGTTATATTTTTCCCTCTATTAAGTTATATGTATATATAGTAGGGATAAAATCAATTTGACCTTGTGTTATATGGAAACATCTCATTAGTAGTTTATGTTTTTAATAATATTACAATAATAATAATAATCAATTTGGTACCTTCGTGTTTAGACGAAGTCCATTTAGCACTTGAAATCAATTATTGACGTATAAAATCTTTCTATTTAATTTACTCTAAAATCAAGTTTATAAAATGTATTAAAAAGATTTTCACAAACATTAAAAAAAAAAAAAAAAAAAACACACACACACATCCCGAATCAAATATGTGGTTGAAGCATTGTAGATCTTGACAAACAAAGAGGGTCGTGCTACTCATGCTCGTGATCTCGTTTCAACATAACTTATGTCATAACAAAATCTAATTTCAATTGGTTTTCTGATTTTCCACTTTTTTTCACAAAGGAGGGGAAGAAGATGTTCTTGCTTTTATGTTTTACCCTTAATTGGTTTCTAATACGTTTTTTTTAAAATCAATTCAGGTAAGTTAATGTGATGAGAAAATTTTAACATTTTATGTCCTAAAAATTAATTAAAAGTACCAAATGACATCTTCTAAAACAATAATGTATCTTTATATTATTATTAAAAATATAAGATACCAATAAAATGTCATGATATCACACAAGATACTAAAATGATTTTATCTCTATATAATATGTCGGAACCTACATGCCACAAGCTAGATCAAAAATTAAAGTACAAATGTTGAATTTTTTAACATCTAGATAGGAAAATTACCCTCGAGGAAGCTTTGAAATTAAACAGCACATAGAGAGAAACATATATCCGTACAAAAAAGCAGCATAAGAACACCGGATGACTATTAAAAAAAAACCTTCTACTTCGCCATTCGCTAAACCCCTTTTATTAAAAATTTTGTGAAAATAAGAAAAAAAAAAAAAAAGTTTTAAATGAGATGCTTTGATCTATTTCGGTTTGTTTTTAATGAAAATTTTAAAAGAAAGAGTTAATGAGAATGATTGTTAAGAGTTTAGAAAGGAATGTGAATTTTTAAAATTTACGAGACACAACGAGAATGATCTTAAAATAAAAAAGGCGCCATCTGATAACACATTTTTAATACTCCACGTTCAATGTTTTTCAGATATATATTTCAACTAAAAAGTCACCAATAAATTCAAACACAAATCTACATTCGGACACACGCCACGCATGCATGACACACCTCGTTTCACAACCAGCACACGTATACTTTCCGTGACCACTCTCTCAGCTCCAAAACCAAACCCATTTCCCACGTTGGTATTCTCGTAATCATTTCATAAAACCACCAAAATTTTCTAAAAAAATCCCTGGTCCAGTCAATATATATGCTTTTTCCCCCCAAAACTTTCTTTTTTCCCTTCTTTTTTGAAAATCCCAACAACCCATCTTTGCAAAATCCATAAAAGAAAAGCACAAAGATTGTGACCACTTAACAAGTCCCTCTCAAGCCCAAGACACAAAGCAAAATTATCCAGATCAATCCCCTCCTTTTTCTTTTCTTTTTCAAGACTCACTGCCTGCAATAGCTCTCTTTCTACTGTTTGCTGCAAAAAATCTTTCAAAGGCTCCACTTGAGAGAAAAGACAAGACAAGGCAGATTCTCTCTCCTTCTGGTCATTGGGACAATTTGTCAAAAGCAGTTATTATGCACACCACTGGTATAAGCAAAGCTAAACCACCTTTCTTCTACACTAAGCAATATTATATTACCCACCAGTTTTACATCACAAGCGCTACTACTAATAACCGACTACGGACCAAAAAGAAGAGTAAAATGCCCACAACCCATTAATTAGAATTTAGACCCATGAAAATAACAAACCACCAAAAAGAAAAATACATGACACATATATATATATATATATATATATTTTTTTTTTTTTGGAATTGGTTTTAGTATAGCTGAAGTTAGATGGTGGTGGATTTTCTGACGATATAGCGATATGCAGCTACTTTTTTTCTCCTAGAGGCAGTGTTGTCTACAGAGAGGACCATTTTGCCTGCTTCTCGTGAAGTAAAAGAGTTGTGAATTGCTTCTTCACTAGGATTCATCTTCCTTGGTTTCTCCACCGCAATGGTGTAGCTTCCTTCAGCAATTGGCACAAATTCAGCGCTGTACTCCAAGTCCCACCCACCCACTACAATGTCCCATGTAATAGTTGCACCAGCCTAAATCAATGACAACATGAAAATTATATTTAAAAAAGAACAAAACTCCACTCACTTTTTAATCTATTGAGAGATTGTAAATACAAATTGAAGCTAACATTTGACCACTTTTGACTCCCCACCACAAGCGTAGAGTTCAAATTTTCTACCTCAAATTCAAAAAAAAAAAAAAGAAAAAAGGAAAGTGTTTTTGTTGGAGTTACTATTACTATGTCCCATGTAATAAATTTTTCATTTTTTTTACTTATTTTATTTTAGTGTAATGTCCCATGTAATAGATTTTTCTTTTTATTTATTTATTTTATTTTAGGGTATTGTCCCGTGCGTGTAATCGTTGCACCAGCCTAATCAATAATAACGTGGAAATTATTTTCAGTAAAAAAAAAAACATAAACATTACATTATTAAGGAAAGAAAAGGACCCATTACTTGTTCCTAGAGATACTGCGCAAATATTGATGCAAATTCCAATTGAAGCCTTAACATGTGACCATTTAAAGAGTGTGAATTGATAAAAGTGACGAAGCTATTAATAAATGATGCTTATTATTGGAATATTTGCCATTAATAACGAAATTATTGAAATAAAGAGAATGAAACCTCAATTCCTTCAATCTGTATGTTGACTTTCTCTCCTCCTTTGACAGTGAACTCGGAGGCAGGTTTTGGGGGACCGTTTTGCAAATCGCTAGGTCGACTCAGTCCACCATACTGAACCGGAACGTCCTCAGGCCTTATGAACCTGAGAAATTAGAAAAAAAAAAAAAAAAAAAAAAAAAAAAAAAAATTCCTTTTTTTTTTTTTAAAAAAAAAAAAAAAAAATTTTTTTTTTTTTTTTTTATAGCATTCTTTTTTTTTTCTTTTTTTTTTTTTTACTGGTATTGGGGCAAAAGGACATCAGCTATTGGTGAAAAAGGACAATGTTAAGAGTGTAACAGGGTTGTACATAGTAACAAACACACAAAAGAGGAGTAATTTTCTTCCTCCCATTTTTGCATTACATTAGATTAGATTAGATGAGAAACAAAAGAACCAAAGGACCAAAATTTGAATTGTAAAGAAATAAACAGAAACGGAAAATTTGGCAGAAAATGAAAAAAGGGGCAGTTGGGAATCAAAGATTATATTACACATTTGCGGAAAACATGGAAAAAGGACCAAAATTTGAATTATGTTACCCATTTGCGGAAAACATGGAAAAGAAAAAGGAAACGAGAAAAGAAACCCCATCAAAGATTTCTCAATCAAAATTTGCTTGCAAAAGTTTGTACATAGTAAAAAGAGTACCAAAAATAAACCATATGAAGAGATAGAGAGAGAGAGAGAGAGAGAGAGAGAGAGAGAGAGAGAGAGACACTTGTAAAGCGTCTCGGCAACATTTCCCTCCTTGGAAATCACGAACTTGCTCTTAGTCCGTTGAGTTAGAAACGGACTGAAAACCGAATACAACACACTGAAGTACCATGGAACATTGATAAAAATCTGTACACCAAAAAAAAAAATTTTAAATTAAAAATAAAAAATAAAAACCCATTAGGTAACATATAATCATTTTAATATTTATATTACCTTACGAGCGACCATTTCGGGATAATTATCTTGAAAAAGAGAGAGGATCTGATTAGAAGCGACTCTAAGCTCACGTTTAGGCATGTCCTTAAGATCCGTAACTTGAATCAAAGAGTTGACCCCACCAGGCTTAAAATGGAGAAGATTAATCCCTCTTTCAAGAACCTGAACTCTCCATCTCAAAAACTTCTTCAGCTTCTCTTCATCACCAAAAATCCTGTCGTACATGTCCTTGTCCCTAAAAACCCCGTACGCATTGTAGCAAACGGGGTGTCCTTCTCTGTCGTATCCATGCATATACGCAACGACGCCTTCGAGCTCTTTGAATCCTAGCTCTTCCTCCAAAACGACGTCGGTTTTGAACTCCTTTCGCCAGACGAGGCACTTGGTGAGCATGGCGAAGGAGTCCGCGACGCGGAAGTCTCGGGCGCGGAGGAACTTGAGGAGAACGACGTCGGATCTCTCGTCGTTTTGGAGGAGGTTGATGCCCCAGATGGAGGCTTCGGAAGGGGAAGAGAAAGTGTCGGACGACATGAGTTTGTCTTTGAGGTCTTGGAGGGCTTTCTTTTCGGAGGATTTAAGGTTAGAGACGAAGTAGGTGTCTTCTTTGAAGGAAGGAGAGCGGAGAGTGGTGGAGGCGGCCGCCATTAATGAGGTCATTAAGTTCTTCTTGTACGGCTTTGGGGAGGCCTCTGGGAGGTCTTGGAGTGGGGTTTTTTGTGAGGCTTCCATGGGAGAGAAGTTTTTTGAGTTTTGGGTTTTGGGTTTTGGGTTTTTTTTTTTGTTTTTTTGTTTTTTGTTTTTGTGTGGGTTTTTTTTAGTTTGAGAAGGGGATTTTTGGGTTTTGCTTTTTGGATTCTCCGAGGGGTGTTATCAGAGGCTTCTTTGAGTGGTTTCAGGGAAAAAATGAAAGGGATTGAGGACAGGAACAAAGCGGGACAGACAAAGAAACAAACAATTAAAGAAATGAGCTAACACTGTGGAGACAGACACAGAGAAGAGTTTTTTTTTTTTTTTTTTTTTTTTTTTAAATAAAACAAAATTTACACAAGAGGGGGATGGGGGGACAAAACACGGAAAAGATTTTTTTTTTTTTTTTTTTTTCTTTTCAAATAAAACAAAATTTACACAAGAGGGGGGTTTTTTTTTTCTTGCTCCCTAAACTATTACTAGAGTTACCGTTTGTCTCTGCATTGGCAAAATGTTACATTTAGAAAATCTTTACGGTTGAGAAGGAATTTTGTTTCATTTTTCATGTCGTTTAATATGAGTGAGGATAATAATTGTTTATTCAATTATTATATTATCTATTTTATATATTTAGTAATAGTTTTTTAGGAGTAAAAAAGACTCTTAATTTTAAAATTAGATGAATTAGTGGGATCTTTTAAAAATGATCTAAATTAGTGAATCTGAAAGAAGACTCTCTCTCTATGCCTCATCTCCCTCCTCTCATCTATCTAACTAAACAGGAGAATCGTTCTCTCCCCCACCACTCTCCCTCTCATTTGGACTGGAGCTTGTGTTTACGGGGCAAATGAATAATTTCCCAACAAAAATAAAAAAGAAAGTAAAGAAACAGACGACCTTTTCCAAGGAGCCGCGTTTTTTGTTTGAACTTTCAGATGCGGTTTATGAGTCTATGACAAAGAACCAGCGCGAGTACTGAGTAGTCGCTGTTTCACTGAAGGTAGCCAAGCTGAGCCGAGCTGACCTGACCACAGCCCAACTGAGCCGGAGAAGTGGAGTTACAGAGAGAGTAGTAGGGTGCGTTTGGTTGATGGATTAAAATTATGTGATTAGAATTATTTTTAATTTATGTGTATTTTTTATAAAAAAAATATTATAATGAACCACGAACTATAATTCGAATCAGAAAACGAATTCATCTACCAAACATCACCGTAATAATTGAGGATTGAGGGCGGGACGTGGCTTTAGAGCATTGGCAGTAGGGTCACGGTTTGTAAGCCTGTGGGACCCATTTGCACCGTTTTGTTTTGTTTCCTTTTTTTCCACTTTTTCTAAATTTGTGGGCCCAGCCTGTTTTACACGCCTCCCCAGTCCAGGCTCGCAATTCCGGACTCCAAAGTCCCAATCTGCAAAGCTCCGTTTGGTTTGCATGGAAACTTTTTTTCGAATTAGTTATAAATAATTAATTCCACCTCAGGTTAGGAAAAAGTATTAAATTAAATTAAAAATGAATTGAGAAGGTATGCTGGTATGACATTTAAAAAATATATATTATTAATAGCTTATTGATAAATGCACGAATTTACACTTTTGATAATCATAATTATCAAATTATTTTATTAAATTTGTGATTTTAATTTCAAATATTCTTAAATCTAGAGGATTTAATTTTAATTAGATTTATTTTATTTTTCAGGTTTTTGAAGAAAACAAATTGGATTTGGGCTAGTTTACCAAGCAAAACCCAAAAGTTGAGTCCAAGAAAAGTCCAATTCGGCCCAAAGCCCATCAGCCGAGAAGCCACGAACCGAGCCAAGAAGCCGTGAGCCAACCCAGCGCCATGTGTCGACCACTGCCGCACCGCAGTCCGTGGGACCCAGCTGTCCCCGCGAATACGCGCGCTTGGCACGCATGGATCCTCTCCCCGGGCGAGTCTCCTCCACGCGCGCGTCACCCGGATTTCCTCTTTCTTCCGCGTGGGTCCCGCGTTCCAGCTTCCCTCCAGCCAGGTCTCGCCACGCGTCCTAGGGGAGCCTAGCTGCTCCCCCGCATACGCGCGATTCGCGCGCACGTTCCCTCCCCACGCGCGTCCAGTTTCCCTCCGCGTGGTCCAGCTGTGCACCACGTCTCTCCTGCGCGTGAATCACGTTGCAACACGTGTCCCACTCTTCAGAAACATGATGGTTTTTCTCCCTCGATTAAGCCTTGTAACTTCTTAATTGGGATCCAGTTTTTAGCTTTTTAACATTCTCAAAACTCTATAAATAGGGCCATTATCAAGGTGATGAAGTGTGGATTTTTAGAGCCTAAATTCTCATACATTTTCTCTTATTTTCTTGTTCTTATTCTCATACTTTCTTTTTAGAATTTTATGAGAATTATGTGCAAGCTAGGCTAGAGTATTTAGGTGAGGCTAGAGATGATCTTATATGTGTAGTGAACTAATTTGGATTTTTTATTCTCCAATGGTTTGTAAGTTTTATACATTTGAGTAAATAATTTTCTTTTATCATATTTCTTCTTCTTATCAATATATTTTATTGTCAACTCTCATATAAATCTAGTCAAGCTCTTTTTATGTGATTGTTG